CTGTTGAAACATGAAAGGCCTTCAACTGAAGAATATTTTTATTGTTAAAAAGGCCTATTACAGCCTAAGGTGACATCTTCTTATAGCTTTTGTTGGCCTGACGAAAAGCCCCAAACCCAAAGATGTTCAGTTTACAATGACATAAAACAGAAAAACTTTTTGTTGCATTTTAGAAGCTGCAACCAACAAATGTTTCTTTTTCTAAATGACTTACTGATTAATCTGCCATCAAAACAGTTGTATTTTTTTATTTATAATCTAGATCTAGATCTAGATCACTTAATTGAATTGTTTCAGTACTGAATGATGTAGTTTAGTCAGTCACCCAGTCAGCACTCACACAACCTGCCAAAACTAGCCAAACTGAGTAGTCTGTTACCTTTTCCTTTGGTCAGTCAGCTTATCAGTCAGGGCGACCAAACAGCCAGCTACTCAGTCACATGATCAGTAAACTTGTTATTTATTCCGTCTCATTTCAGCCAAACACTACTACTCTGAACACTGAATGTGTGTGTGGATGTATGTCAGTGTGTGTGTGTTGTCATGTGGCCAGATGACACATTCCTCTCCCTGCCGGTGAGCTGCTGTTTATGTGCTGGAACGTGGCAGAACCTCCCCTCCACCCTTTCTCCATCCGCCTCCCCCTACCTCTATACACCACCACCCGCCACCCCTCCAGCTCCCAGAGTGCCAGTCACACAGCCCCGTCTCTGCGCCATCTGCATATCAGCTCCAGCCTCGGCCAAAGCATTAAATTAAATCCCTGTTTGGGTTGATTAACAAATGGCTGGTGAGCTCACATAGTTATGGAGTTATTTATTTAATTGTCATCAAGGTTTTTCCTGCTTTTCGTCTGTCTCGGTCTTTGCTGAAATGTGGTAAAGCAGAAGAGCAGAGGTGTGCTGGTGTCCTGAAGGAACGAGTGTGAGACAGAGAGATGGAGAGAGACCGTAAAGTATTGTCTCATTTCTGTTTAGCTGGCTGAAGTTCAGCCTTACCATTTATACCTGTCTCCTATTTTTCCTCTCTGCATTTCTCCGTCTCATTCTTTCCCCATTCCCCCTCTGTCCTGAAATGAATAGTTAATCAGTCTGCTAATTGAGTGACAGTTAGTCAGTGCGTTGTTGTAATTGTCCAATCAGAAAGCTTGGAACGGACACAGTCACAGCTGATTCATCTCTGCCTCTTACTTCTAAATCCACAAGCTGCAACTGGAGGATGTGCCAACAAGATTTATTTCTCCCAGAAATTCCAAAATAACTTTTTAAAAGTTAAACTAGTTTAGTTTTTAATCGTTAGTTCGTAGCTCACACACCAAAAAAGCTGAAAACTAAAGGTCTTGAAGAGTAGAGACTTTGAGAGAAAGTTTGTCACCTTTACTCATTTTGTGAATAAGTACAGTAGTTGCAGTTGTTTTTTTGGCTTATGTTTACATATTTACTTATTTTAGACTTTTTTAAATCAAGTCACAATGCAATGTAATACTTTCCTAACAATAAACAAAAAGGAACATAAAGATTTCAGAAAAGTACGAGTATACATCGAATTACGGCATGAAATTAGATGAAAGAGAGCACTTTAGAACTGCGGCACAAGTTAATATTTTGTCAGTGTTTTGAACAAATTCTGAAACAAATTTAAATACACTTCAAAAATGCATTATCTTTTCCTCCTAAATATCCTCCGTTACTTAGATCTTTCGGATCACCCACGTTGTCCTGTATTACTGATTTCCTGTCGTTCTAACAAGAAACAAGAGACTCCTGTTGTCTTAAGTACTGTATAGTGTAGTATTTACTAATTGGCCTTAAGGGAAAAGTAAAGTTGTGCAGAAAACTAAATGAAACTGAAGTGAGGAGTCCGAGAGAGATGGTGTGGGAAGGAGACCGGCTGTTCTGTTTTCTCCAGCAGTCCAAACTAGAGACATGTGGCTCCCCAGACAAGCTGTCCAGAGTGGGAGAGCTCGCTGGACTCATTACAGGCAGGGCCAAGACGGGATAGCTTGACAGAACACCATTGGATCATTCGGAGAATTGGAACGGTCGAAACTGAATTGTGTTGGTTTGTGTGTGCGTGTATGAGCGTGCACTTGCCTGTGTTTGTTTGGAACGGCATGTGTGGACAACTGTCCATCTCCTCTCTCCGTCTGTGCCACCCCTGGCTGCCCCCTCCCCCGCCCCCCAGTGGACGTGTACACACACACATATATACACACTGTCTAGGCCCGGCCAGAAGGATTGCTTAAATGTTTTCAGTTGTACTGGACAGCTGAGCGATGAAGTGGCCAGCCACAGGCTTCCATTGGTTGGACACTTCATCTAGAAACTGACTCAGAGAAATGACTGGACTTGGACCAGCAAGCCAGTCATCACTGCCAGTTTATAATAGTTTTATCAGTTTAACTTTCTGTTTATCCTCATCCATTTCGTCAGTCAATACATCTCTGTCTCCTGTCCACTTTGAAGTCAACCAGATTTCTTTTTTCCAGATGATCATATTTTTCCAGATTTCTTTCCCCATCAAGTTTAATCAGTTGATATGATGCTGATGTGAACCAAAAGGAGCTGAACACAATAACGGAAACACCTTTGTAATGCTTCAGAATGAAGTCAAGTTCACCAACACCATAAATTACAGCCTCAAATATTTCCATAAAGTTGAATCATGGCCTTCCTTACAGAGTCTACATTACATTAACAGTGTTGTGTTCCTCCTCTTTTGGATTTGAAGAAACCTGCATCTCAAAGATCACATTTACATTAAAAACATAAAAAATGTATGGAGTCACTCACATTAATTTGCAAAGTACTAATCAAAGTATTTTCTGGTAGATTTTGGAATAAGCTCATTAGGGTTGCTTACATTCATTCTCTCTCCAGGGAACCAAAATCCCACAATGCACTTCAAAATTCTGAACTGATTATATGCAACCCTCATCTCTAGTTTTATATATATTAGTTTGGTCAGAATTGATGAAATATTCTCTTTCTTTCGTTCACTCACATCCTCCTTCCTCTCCATCCCTTTTTTGCCTTCTTTATTACATTTTTTCCTTCCTCTTCCTTATGCCTCCCTGCATCCCTCCTACCACCCCTCCCGTTCAGCCCCTCTCACAGCACTCTGTTTATCAGTAGCAACTGATCCAAAGAAGATGCTTTGTTTCTGAAAGAACAGGAGAAGGAAATGGGAGAGGAGGGGAGAGTGGGTGGATTTGTGAAAAAGAGAAAAAATAGAGACTGAGAGAGAGGTGTGATTTGGTAATCCTGATGACGCACTGGCATCCAACAGCATTTTCTTATCTGTGTCTCTGTCTGTCCCTGTGTGTTCAGCCACTACCACCCCTCCACCACACACTCACACGCACACACCTCCACCACCAGAACCACCCAGAGGTACCGGCAGGCCCCGTAGTCGCATGGTCCCTTCGGCGGAGCAGGTGTTTTTCTGCGACGTGTTAACGAGCACGGCCTGCTGTCATTTCCGCTTTAAATGGATGTCACAAATAGAACACACACACACACACACACACACACACACACACACACACACACACACATACATGCTGCCTATTCTCCTCTCCCAGCGAATTAGCCTAAGAAAGGTGATCAGAGCTGTTACCGAGCTTCGTGTGTATGTGCATCGGCTATGAGTGTTGATACCTGCTGCACATACGAGTCTTTCTCTTGCATCTGTGTGTGTGTGTGTGTGTGTGTGTGTGTGTGTGTGTGTGTGTGTGTGTGTGTGTGTGTGTGTGTGTGTGTGTGTGTGTGTGTGTGTGTGTGTGTGCATGTCAAGGAACGGCTGGTTAATTAAAAGGGGTTGAGGAGTAGGGAACATTTGTGTCCTTCTGTGGTTTTTATTTCTGTTGTTTGAAATGGGAAAGTGAAATGTTTACACAGCTCCCGGCTTTGGAAAGTGTTGAGATTGTCAGTTTCTTTCATCAGAGCTGTGTGTCTCAGTATTACTTCAACCGTGTACTCTGCGCGTTCGTGCATGTGTGCGCACAGTCTCATCCCAGTATTTGTACTCATTGTACTCGTCCAACTATGTGTGAATCCACACGTGTGTGTACTTTAATCCATGTGTGTATCCATGCTGCTTCCAGTAAGTGTTATCCGCCTCTGTGGTGTGGAAATGTTTGACACTCATGTAATCCTGCAGCAGGTCATCTGATAAAGCTGTGGTGCCACCTTAGTGCCAGTCTGTGCCAGCCAGTTGGGTAATACTCTGCCACCAGCTGCTCAGCAGATGTTGTTATTTGTTGCTGCGGTCTAAGAAGGGTCATTCTCTATGTATAATCTTATCCCATTTCATGTCATCTCATTCCATCTTATCTCTCATCCCTTGTCTCTTCTACCCCCTTTGCAGGAGACCAGTGATTTGTATGCATGTGTGTTTAAATTGTGAATTCATATATATATTTGTATGTATGTGTGCACAGTGTGGTTGTGTGTCTGTGTATGTGTGTGTGTGTGTGTGTGTGTGTGTGTGTGTGTGTGTGTGTGTGTGTTTGGTAGAGGGGTCATCACCTCGACACCTGCCCATGTATCAGCCAGATGATGTTTCTGGCATAGATAGTTTGGTTGTTGTGCTGGTAAACATGTTTTTGTCATTTTTTTTACATGATAATCCGATCGGAATCTGGCAAGCACTGTGGGAGTCATAGAGATACTGTGTGTGTGTGTGTCTGTGTGTGTGTATGTGTATGTGTATGTGTACAGTGTGTACATGTGTGTGATATTTTTTTGGACAGATCAGAGTTGAGTGGACAAGCTCTTATCTGTCTAGGGAATAAAATCTGTATTTAAAATCATCACCATCATCGTTATTGCTGTTAATGCTTTCCATGTATCACTGTGATCGTCATAATCATCATTACCCCTGAGTACAATATTGCCTTCAGCATCATCACTGATCTGAATTCAGTGGTGTTTGCATCAAATATCTGATATTTGACTTAAATATGTCCTTCTTCTCTTTGTGTCTATCTTTTTATTCAGGTGAATACATAAAGAACTGGCGGCCGCGTTACTTTCTGCTGAAGACAGACGGCTCTTTCATCGGCTACAAAGAGAAACCTCAGGATGCGGACCTGCCCTACCCCCTAAATAACTTCTCTGTAGCAAGTACGTGAGCTACCATATATATGTCAAAATAGCCTTTTTAGACTGTGCTCTAAATCTTACTGTACCTGTATCTGTATCTTTACATCAAAGCTACCCATCCCATGCTTACAGGTTCCCACCTCAAGGACGCAGCTTTTAGATTCCTGATACACTAATTTGGAACATCTTTTTGTTTTTGCAGGCTTGTTATAATCCATTTTTTTTCTTTAAAATGCTGTTAACTATACACTTTTTAATCCTAATGGGTATACAAAGAGACTAGTGGCAATGTGTCCAACTACCTGCATCTTATCTTTTTATGCTGCACCCATGTACCCTGCATACTTGTCTGTAGGTTCATAATTGATTATAATACTTTGGCAACTGCTGTATTTAACCCCTGCAGGTAACATTTCAGTTTAAAACAGAACCTCTGTAGATGACAGGTAGTCAGTGTCATGCTCTAGGACAAGGAATCGAACCCACATCTTCCAGTTGAAAAAATAGACCCTATACTGTAATTGATTATATATTTATATTTCGTAAGTGCAAATTACCTCTGTCCTGTAAAGTACCACGGGATGTTGCTGAAATGTTCCTGTGGTTTCATCACGCAGAGCCGCAGTGAAATGGTACATCAGTTATTGCATCAGTTTCACTCAAGACGTGTCAAAGCATCTTGTCAGACATCAGTCTTCACAGCATTGGTACGCTTTACAGAATTCACTGAGGGCTCTAATTAACCATTTATCACTATATCATCTGTCTACACCTGGTTAACAAGCTCCACAGCATCGTTGACATGTGTAATTAACCAGCTAATGACTTAACAAGATTAATTTTAATGTCTCTCGGTCTCATTACCACAAACATCACTTCTCATTCTTCATACAATGCAGATTGGTAGTAAAACTATGTGTCTGCTCTCAGGTGGTCACCCTAAATTGCCACAATCTGACCGAGGACAGAACTGACACTCACACACATTTAGGCTGACATCACCTTTATTTTTTAAGGCACAAAACCTTTTCAATTTGACATTACTGTATATCGCTGAGCACATTAAAGACCATAAGGCTGAAGACAGTACATCACTGTTGTAGCACTGATTCCTAAATCAATGTGTTTATGTTTGAAGTTCAGGTTTTGTTTTTATTCTCTGCTGCTGTATTGTAGCTATCACACAAGTGATTATTATACTCAAGTAATATGCACAGTGCACTGATTCAGACTAGGTAAGTCAGTAGCAATGGTGGTTCTTGACGACCCAAAAAGTGGACTTGGAGCTAAGTTTAACGTACAGTAACACTAACAAGTCTTTTGTGGCATTGGGTGAACATATGGATCAAATAAAAACTTTCTTTAACTAATTCCTTTACTCAACCCAAAAAGAAAACAAACAAAAAAACATAGACCAACCACATGAATCCACATGCAAATGAGAACACCTGTCCAAAATACCAAAAGAAAAAGGTAGGGTAAGAAAATAAAACCATAAACATAATAGTTTTACAGTAAATAGTATCAATAAAATACTTGGTGTAATGTGGTCCTGTCACTTAATGTCACTAAAAGCTGAATTTACCTGAAGACAGGAGACAGTTTTTTAGAGGAATCACTATAATCAAGTTGAAATGGGGTAAAGTCATGGATGACATTTTATAAGTTGCTTAAATTTGCAAAAGTAATCAGGATTATCTAGTTATTTTACTTTGAAAACAAAAATATACCCAGATTATTGGCAGATCAGCATCTACCATTACGCTGGATAAAACAGATAAAACACTAAATACAGTATAAAACACAGCATATGTCTCTTGCTGGATGCACGTGTAGCTGTTTATGTTCATACATTGCTGTCTACTAAACGTAATATGATAGGCGCTAAGCTGGTGTTTCACCTCTTGGCACAAGGCCTGATGCAGATGTCACTGTATCTATTCCTAGTTACCACTGTACTACTGTACAGGGTCTTAGATTTGGACATCAATTATTGAAAATTATTGTTTTTAAATTAACGTTTAATTAAACTGAATAGGTTTAGTCAGTGAAATCCATTCAGGTTTTTTAGTTGAAAGGCATTAGAATAGCACCATGTAAATTATCTGCAGAACATTTTGGTGAGGATTGGCGATGGAGGGGATGATAGGGGAGACAGAGGAGAGTACAGGAGAATAGGTGCGAGATGAGGGCAAAAACAGAAAAGAAAATGATGACGAATGGTAGAGTCCAAGCTGATACCTCAGAGAAAACGATAAGGAATGGTACATCGAAGTATGGAGGAGGAGAAAGAAAGATAGGAGTGCGGAAGGGAGGACAAGTATGGGCAATGAGCGATGGGAGTCTATCGGAGGGGGCAGAGGAAGAGAAAATTGGAGATGTGGGGAGGAGAGAGGAACATGAGAGAGGACAGAGATGGAAGGATGATTAGGGTGGAAAGCAACGGATGAGAGATTGAGAGAGGGATGGAGGGATTGGAGAGTAAGGCTTTTGTGGATGAAATATGGGGGAGAGGAAGGGAGGATGAGGGAGGAGAGTAGGATCGTCAGCACTGAACAGACAGGGAGGAGGAGATGAAGACGGGATTGGAGAACGAGAAAATAGGGGAGAGGAAAAGAGTTTGTGAGGAGGACAAGCCAGGCCATACATCCGGCCCCGGCTGCTTGGCACAGCACTGGCACTGCCACATCTGTTGCCCAAAGCTGGGAGGCCAGGTGGTGTGTGTGTGTGTGGGTGTGTGTGTGTGTGTGTGTGTGTGTGTGTGTGTGTGTGTGTGTGTGTGTGTGTGTGTGTGTGTGTTTGTTTATTTGTGTGTGCCTGTGTGTGTGTGTTTATGTGTGTGTGAACAACAGAAGTGGTCAGATGGAACAGAGATGGTACAGGCCTGTTCCCTGCAGAGGGACTCATACATACAAGGCTGTCGCTCACACACACACACACACACACACACACACACACACACTGATGCATGCACTCACATACACCCACTAAAACGCTACACAGATTTCACAATTGCCTGCTGTGGCAAACAACCCAATTTCAGCATTCAAACTTCAATATCACTTTTTGTGTGTGTGTGTGTGTGTGTGTGGGTGTGGGTGTGGGTGTGGGTGTGAGTGTTTTTTGGCATCAACCCATAGCATGACCTTGTTTTCTGGCAGCACAGCAGGCCATACTCACGGATCAGGTAGTAACTTCTTTGTGTGTGTGTGAATTTACATTGAAAGTCTGCCGTGTGTACGACCTGAGTGGTGTTGTCATTAACCTTCCTGTCTATATTTAGGCTGAGCCATGACATGCTGTGCTGTGCCACACTTAAACAGAAAGTAATTGGAAAAAGGGATAGCCGAGGACGGTAGGTGAGAGGAAAGGAGAGGAGGGAGGAGGAGAGGATATGGGTGGAGGAGAGATGAGGGAAGGAGAGAATGACCGTAGACAAAAGGAGAACAGAGGGGAGGAGAAAACAGGAGAGGAAAATGGAGGGTGATATATGTAGAACAAAGAAGAAGAGGTCAGAGGATGGATCATTATGTTCTTTTTCATCAGCTCTCGTCCCCAATAACCACAGAGACTGCTGAGGGACAATGAAGATGCATTCCTTCCCACAGCGTTCTCACAGTCCCATCTGGCTATGTGTGCGTACATTTCTGCGTTTGTGTACTGTATTACGCATTTGTGTAATAATGGCCTACTGTATTGCACATTTTCACAGAAATGTGTCTCTTCGGATATTTGCCAGATGCGTATGTGCTGCAGCACATAATATCCCTTGGCACAGGAAAGCACCTTTATTTGAATCATGGGTGGCTGAAGTTATTGCCTATTTTTAAACTAACAAATGAAAAAACAAAGCTGCATCTCTTAATTATGATATTCAACATGAATGTCTTTGATCTGTTTGAGTTCAAGTAGAATGTTTACATTATTTCACTTTTTCACAGTATAAATGTTGGTCATAATTACCATAGTTGTTGCTCAAATCAAGGCAGTTTTATTTATGCAGCACTTTGTATTACTAGTAAATTCAATGAGCCTTACAATAAATGAATGCAGCATGTAGAATATTAGATAGAAAATATAAGAAAATGCAACGATAACTAAACAAAAGAAGATAAACCCCCAAACAAAACCACAAACCCACACAAAGAAAGACATTCATGAACCCCATACACACACACACACACACACACACACACACACACACACACACAGATACAGAAACTCTATTATGGACACAGTTGTGATTGATATCAGCTCATCAGTGAAGGACCAACTGTATGTAATTAAAAGCACCCCCACCAGATCTAAATGTAATTCTATGTACAGTTAGAAGCTCCTAGCTTGTCCCTCCTTTTGAAACGTTGTTGTAATTTTACTGACAATAAACCACTAAACCTCTGGCTGCCTGTTTCAGAATGTCAGCTGATGAAGACGGAGAGACCGAAGCCAAACACCTTCATCATACGCTGCCTCCAGTGGACCACCGTCATAGAGAGGACCTTCCATGTGGACTCGCCCGATGAGAGGTCAGTTCCCTGAAAACTCAGTTCTTAGAGCATCCTCCTGTCGTTGTTAGTCAGTGAACAACGAGGATGTCAAGCACTGTGTCCTCCTCAATCTGTCTAATGAGAGCTCTAATCATATATCGGGCTGAGGTTGTCTTGATTCAAATTCAGAGCTTTCTTTAAAACCAGAAGTGAAAAAGGACTGACATTTCTCTGACATTTCTCTCACAGCACTAACTTAATTGACATTTAAGTTAGAAACCTGCAAGTTAAAACAACCAAATGTTTCGAAAGTTTAACTTTCTTCTTCTTCAAATACAAAAGGAGACATTTTTGAAATTACACTGTGGTTGGGGTTGTTTCAGTTCAACTTAAAAACTTCACACTTGCAAGAAAAATACTAAAACATTATGTACAAGTTCTGTTCAAGTAAAAGAAAGAAAAAGAAATTAACAAGCCAAAAGCTTTTAAATTACCATGACATTAGACTAAATAGAGATAATATATAAATATATATATATACACACACATATATATATCCTGTGGGTAAAGGTATCATCAAGGGCAGAGGTATGTGTGAGGAGGTTTGTACTGTAGAGAGTTTTCTTTTTTCGATGTGTGTGTGTCTGAGGGAAAGAGAGAGGGTGAGAGAGACAGAGTGGAAAGGAGACCTTTCAAGTAGCGTTGGCATAAATTCTCCAGCTGCTCAGTTCCTTTCTGAGGAGCTGAGGTGTTTATCTCCAGAAAATGAACAGCTTTGCCCAGAAGACCACAGATGCTTCTGTGCATCCTTTGAGTTTGTGTGTGTTTTTATGTGTGTGTGTGTGTGTGTGTGTGTGTGTGTGTGTGTATTGTAGCTGTCTGTCCAACTTTGTCTGTGTTATATGTTGCTTTATAATAGTTTTTCCTCTGGATAATCAAATAAATATTTCAGAGGTAACGTATTACTAATAACTTTCTATCCATTATTTTATTGAGTCAATTGTATATGCAATATGCAGATTAGTTGATGACTCTGAAGCAGATGTGTGTATGTTTAGCTGTAGAAGTGTGTGCATCATTGAAGTTTAAGTGGGTTAGAAATTGGAAGTGTGTGTGTGTGTGTGTGTGTGTGTGTGTGTGTGTGTGTGTGTGTGTGTGTGTGTGTGTGTGTGTGTGTGTGTGTGTGTGTGTGTGTGTGCCACAACTGGGTGTCTGCGCTTCTTTGTGTGTGTTACTGTATTTGTTGTACTGTACCAGTGCTGGCAGGGCTCCAGCTACCACAGCCCCAGCCGTGAGCAGAGAGGGTGGCACGTGTTGGCATGGCGCCCGACTGTAGGCAGGCCCATTATCTCTCATTAGCAAAAAAAAAACTCATTATACAAAAAACACTCTAACCAAGAGAGAGAGCATTTATCTGCTGCCTGACCTTGAGAGAGTTCCCATTGCTTTTCATGTAGCTACACGCACGCACGCACGCACGCACGCACGCACGCACGCACGCACACACACACACACACACACACACACACACACACACACACACACACACACACACACACACACACACACACACACACACACACACACATCATGGGTGCCACAAATTGAGTGCTCCATTGTTGTAGATGGAGTGTAACTTCAGTTTGCCCTTGTTTTGGAGTGTGTAGGGTATGTTCTGAAGTCTTTGCAGTAGAAAGGGATTCAGATCTTAAAAACAGACACACACACACGCACACGCACACGCACACACACACACACACACACACACACACACACTGCTCTGTTTAGGTTCAGATGGAGTGTTCTTCCAGATCCCTCAAGGAAACATATGGGCATCTAACTCAAAACAAAACAAAAGACACAGGGGTGATCGTTTGGGAGTCAAACAGGTTTCATTATTATGATCCCCTCTCGGCTTACACTGGGTAAGTGTATTTGAAAGTGCACACTGGTAAATCGCAACTTGCTTCTCTGGAGTCTTGAGGATTTCGGAATATTTGAATATCATATTTGGTTCACCTCAGTTCAGGCTCTGTCGTGTTTTCTGCTAACATGCAACCCTTGCATGTAGCACTGGATTAACACTGTTTGAGTGAAGATCAGTGGGGGAAAAGTCCAAAAGAGAACGCTTTCTGAATCCAGTCTTGAGGAAATGTTTGCAGAATTTTCATTTTATGTTTAAAACAAGAAATTATTGATAAACTATGTGAATTCTCTTTTATATGAAATTAACCAGATATACAGTTTCAGGAAACTAATAAAACCTCTTCTCTTCTCTTCGCTATCAGAGCAGAGGGAAGCTTGGCCCTGTGTATAAACCATTATATTCATCATCGTTAAGTACAGTTAACGTGTCTACACATCCTAATGCATGGCTGGCCTTCTGCTACAGATGATGATCACACACACACACACACACACACACACACACACACACACACACACACACACACACACACACACACACACACATCCTTACATACATACATACACACACACACACAATCAAGCTCACATATTTTCTCTCAACAGATGTTGAACAACACCGCTAATGGAAAGTCAATGGGGAGGAACAATGTTAGCAAACAACAATGCATTGTTCCCTCTAATGCATGGGTGTGCAATCGTGCACACACTTACTCACCCTCTCATACATAAACACAGACACTCTCACACACAGACACACACACACTCACACATGCACAGACTGGTAGGCATTAGTTCTGCTCCATGATCATTGCTCATTTGGTTGATCCTCTAGTTGACCATGTTTCCTCTCTGTCGAACAAATAGGTGTTTATGTTAATTGAAAACACTTTAGCGCCTTTAAAAACCTGGTTAAATAAGTACACTAGCCAACCTATTGGAGAATCTGTGACCAATATTAAATTTTACACCTGTGTAATGTATTGTTACCTGGGATGGTTTCAATTACGTATTACTGTATGTGTGTATGTAGTGTGCTGTTTGACCAGTTGAGCATTTTATGTCGGGCACAGGGGCAATAACAACAACAGTAACTAGAACAGTCTTACAATATCATGTGTATATATGATAACCCTTTGATGCCTTTGCTTCTTACATTCAAATGTCCAGATTCTGTTGAGACTGTATCAGAATAATGTTGATTCACCTAGTTTAAATTAAAAATAGTGTAAAATTTACAATTTCCCTGAGCATTCACCTTGCTTGTTATATCTGCACACCAGTGATATTCTGTTTAATAATAAATAAATGAATAATAAATAATAAATCACATTTGAGAAGCTGGAACCAGCAAGTGTTTGCTACTTTTGCTTCATAAATTACTAAATTGATTAATGGATTATCAAAATGATTGCCGATTCATTCAATTATTTATAATACAAACAACTAGTTTTTGCAGCACTAAATATGACCCTCCAAACCTGGAAGAACACTGGATTTCATGAAATAAAAAAATGAATAAAGGAACTTGTCTCAGTCATCCTCATCCAGTTAAACTGTAATGTGTGTCAGTAGCAGTGGATGGGACACAGTAGGTACTGGTATTAGTGTTTTCCTAAACTCTATCTTGTTGTATGTTTTAAACTCAGAGATGAGTGGACAGAGGCCATCCAGATGGTGGCTGACAAGCTGCAGAGACAAGAGGAGGAAAGGATCCAGTGCAGCCCCACATCCAACATTGACAACATGGTTGAAGAAGAGATGGACATTTCCACCACACACCACAAACGCAAGGTAACCCACGACAACAGACAAGCAAACACATACTCACTCTCACAAACTCTATACGCAAAACACAGAAGTGATTCCAGCTTTTTATTGTCATGTAATGGGTTATTTACCTTTTGACTGCTTGCAATTTTAAAAATGGTCCTCTCAGTCAGAAGTTTGTGTCAACATGAAATAGCCCCTGTAACAACAAGGAAAATTGGTTTTCCCAAATTAGAGTACTCTGGATAGTAAAAGCAGTCATGCAAAATAACATCTGTAAATGGTAACGGCTACACTTGAGTAAAATGTATGCTAGATAGATCAAGTAAACTAAACTGTCTGAAGTACATATATAGGCCCCTGCAGGGTCCATTGTTCATAAGACCCAAAGGGTTGGTCAAGATGAAGTTCTGATCTCACAATGGCACCAACAGGGACCAATCACTGAATTTCTGGATTGAAATGTTACATGTTACATGTAAAAAATGCACAGCCCTACACTGCTAGTGAGATAAGGTCATAACAGCTGTTCAACTTGAAGCATAGATGGATCGCTGACATTGGTCTCCTGTGTTTCTCTCCCACCCCAGACAATGAGTGACTTTGACTACCTGAAGCTCCTGGGAAAGGGAACCTTTGGTAAAGTGATTCTTGTCCGAGAAAAGGCCAGCGGGAAATACTACGCCATGAAAATCCTTAAAAAAGAAGTCATCATAGCCAAGGTTAGTCTCGCAGAGACTGTTAATCTATTGAGCAATCTTTATAGCATTTTACTGAATTTTAAATGGACCGCATGAAACTGAAATTTGTGGCACTTGAGCCCTTTTCTCTGGCTATTTTTAATTTTTGAGTACAGTGTCAAATGTCAGTATCTGATGTTTTTAATGCATTTCATAAAAGGGCTCTTCAACTGACTCCTTATTTAGTTGTTTGATTAAAATTGTTTTTACCGTATCTGTGCAGGATGAAGTGGCTCACACACTCACAGAGAGCCGAGTTCTGAAAAACACCAGGCACCCCTTTCTCACTGTAAGTACCTTGCAAATGGTTTAAATTCAGACATATGTGCATATGCAAATGTACTGACATCTGTAAGAGTGCATGTCACATGTTCGCACACACACTCAGGCAACATATTGATCCTATACGTACCCGAGTCTCTCGAGGCTAATTATGAGTTAGACACCAAATTGTTGTACATTAACGACTGCATCTGTTAGCTTTACACTCTTGTCTTTGATGTACACATACACACATTAGCAGCTACGCATTTCTATCACACTCCCTGTAAACGCACACGCTTACTGGATATATAAAAGTTCTCTCTCACACACACACACACACACACACACACACACACACACAGTGTTGTGAGAGCAATTGCAGTTCACATCTGAGTTTGCCCCTGTCACACCTGCAGTCACAAAGAGACTGCGACCAACTGTTCTTTTGTTTAGCAGCTTTCTCCCTCCAAAGAAAAGACACACACACCTACTTGCTTTGAATAAGCAAATACAGACATAAACTGTTTGAAGCTATGAACGTTTTGTTGCTCCTGCTGTTTTAGCTAGAATGGGACCAGACTTCTTGCTGCGTATGAAAACGTTCACTCATTCACTGCACTGTGCTCTGTATAGGGAGTGCGTGTAGAAGACGAGTACATAATGTATCATTTGGCAAAATCAAAAAAACAATATTTGATGCTATTCAAGTTGTCCCTCAGAAATTGTTACAGAAATTAAAGAGAAAGCTATTGTGTTAAAAAATGCATCATGGTAGCTAGCAATTGATTAGTAACAATCACTTGTACACTACATTTTCCATTGCACTGTGGGATAATTTGAGTCCACTATATACTGTAAGGCTGAATCCACATGTCCACCCTCACCCACCCTTGCAGACTGAGTCCTAATGGACTTCAGTCGCTGTTACTGTGATACTATAAGGAGGAGGAGGCTATAAGCAGCTGATAGACAGGTCTTAAGTATATTTCACACACTGCTGTGGAAATGTTGGAAGCAACAGTCATATTTCTGTATGATGATGTGACTGAATATTATATCTGGCATAACCTTTCAATAAAGTAATTGTTTTACACAGCCAAGTTATTTTTGTTTTTTTCAGTCAGCAATTTAAAAACTACAACGTCACGACTCACGTCCATATTGCAATGAATCGTGGGTAATTAAATCAGTGACGTCTGGTGAAGCGGACTCTCTGGAAGTCTGCGGGAAGACAGCCCTCAGCACTCACAGACTTCTGGAGAACATGTCCGCAAGTCTGTGAGTCTGCAAGAAGGGTGAAATCCAGACATTTGGAGTCAGCCTAAGATTCAAAACATCTGACTACACAAGGAAAAAAAACAAAATGACAGACACAATCAACATTGGACTGCACAGTGGATACAGTTAATAAAACTGTTTGCTAAATGCTTTTATGTTTATACATTGTGTATGTTTCTCATTTCAGTCTTTGAAGTATTCATTCCAAACTAAAGACCGCCTCTGTTTCGTCATGGAGTATGTGAATGGAGGAGAGGTAAGACACACACACACACACACACACGGATACAAAGTTTCACGAGGGTTGTGCTGTATGTGGTTACCTATCTTTGTTACTGCAGCTGAACCACAACTCCACCACACTAACTGACAACGATTAAGCACACCACCTATCCTAGTATAGCTCAAACCTGTGTTGAAACCCAGATGACAGAGAATTGGCTTTGGCTACATATTCAAATTCTGATATTCACAGTATTTATAGACTGCATTTAAAAAGACAAATTTCTTTGCTCTTTTGTCTTAATTTTGATGTGTATATGTTTAACTTGACTTAAAATTATTTATCTGTATGAGTGTAAATGAGTTGTTTTAAATATTATTTTCAAAGATGGTCTTCTAAACACTCGTCTGGCTTTATAAATGTCTCTCACTGATAAACGCTCACTTTCTACATGGGAAATTGGACGTTTGCGAGTCTGTGACAGTAATGCAGCAAAGGAATGTTAAGACGTGCAAACACTCAAGAAGTGGCTAAAGTTTGACTGTTCGATTGCTTTCTAACACAGTTAATTTGCCAACCAACTGGCCTCTCGCTTGCCTTCTTGTCTCTCTTCTCCTTTCCATCCCTCTCTTGCTTGTGTCTATTTATGAACACACCTATGGGGCAAATATAGCCAGAATGACAGTCGGAGACGAAATGAGTTTGGATTCCACCACTTCTCCACTTCTCAGATTTTTAATCGGGCCGCTTTTTGCAATCTTGGTTCATTCCCTCAGTGTAACTGTCACCTGCTCCCCTCCCAGTTAGTTAGGCAGTTCAGCCAGCGCCAGGCCTGAGCAAACACACACACACTCACTCACACACAGAAAACACCAGGAAACACACTCATACTTAGACACACACGCAACAAATTTTTACCTCAACGGACAAATTGTGACCAAACATTCCTCACAAACAGGCACACACACACACACACACACACACACACACACACACACACACACATCCCATTACAAACCTGCCACAGTCACAGCTGCCAGTACACTGATGAAGGCCCACCTGTCGTGTTACCCCGTCTCACCGCACCCCCACCACACATACACACACACACACATTTACACACGCACACCATTTGAGCAAGGTGGTCTGTGAGCATCACTCCAGCGGCCATATGCAAACCTCCCTGAACAATTAATGGGGAGATGTGTGCCCCTTGGCCTCATGGGTAATTTGTACAACTTGACTGGTGCGCCGCAGCAGGCTGGTGTCATTTTGGTGCCACATGTGTAGCTGCGTGACAGTGATAACTTGACAACTGACAGCTAGGGAGGGAATAAGAGATAGAGAGAGAGAGAGATGAAGGGAATGTGAGGTGAGCGACAAAAAGCAAAGCAGGGGAGAAACGGGAGGTCAAGCCACTTGGGAAAAAAAACGAGTTGTGTAGTCTTTAAAGTATGAAAATGAGCTTTTAGCCAAATCCGGAGAGGGATGGATATGAGAATGGAGTAAATGAAGACGGAAGCTCAGGGGGCAAGGCCAGTTAGGCCACTAATGAGTGCTGCACTGGAGGCTGTTGGGATGGAATTGAAGGGGGGGGTGGCGTTGGCGGCGGCAGCGGCGGTCGGCCTGTCTTTAACTAGACTGGTGTATTGATTAAACCCTTGATTTGGCCCCCGTCACCGAACTCCACGCCAGCACCGTGCCAACCTAGCCCAGAGGGTAACGTGGAAGAGGTATGCAAGTGTGTGTGTGTGTGTGTGTATGTGTGGTGAGGGGGGCTGCTAGATGAGGCGCCAGCTGCCGAGCGCCTCCACCCGCCCTCCTCCGAGACTCCCACCCCCACCCCCCCAACCCCTCTCCGCGCACACCCCTCACACACACACCCCCCCACTCACCCTCCCCTCCGCTATCTATCATCTCAATATGGTGCGGGCAGCCAGTTTGTGTTGTGCTAATTTCCTCCAATAAATCAGTAATTATTGCTGTGCCGTCCCTGCTGTCTCTCCCCTCTCTCTCTCCCCCGCCCTCTCTCTTTCTCTCCCTCTCTCCCTCTCTCCCTCTTACCCTCTCTCTCTTCCTCCTTCCTTCTCCCGCAGCTGTTTTTCCATTTGTCCAGAGAGCGAGTGTTCTCAGAGGAGCGCACGCGCTTCTACGGTGCCGAGATCGTCTCAGCTCTCGACTACCTGCATTCAGCCAAGATTGTGTACCGGGACCTCAAGGTAAACAGAGAGGGGAGGCTGGTTGGGGGGCATGGATGAGAGTGATCAGATATTTGAGGGAAAACTTTTTCTTTTTTTTACCCCCCACCCCCACAACCTCTAGAGTTCCACATATTTTTATTTTTTTTTTTTCATCCAGGAGGAGAGGAGTGGCTCAGAATGTGTGGTAATTAAAGAGAGGGACAGGGACAAACCTGCACAAACATAAAGCAGTAAAGAAGCGTGGGAGGTGGAGGAGCAAGGGAGGGAGGGAAGAAGCAAGGGAGGGGGTGCTGATGCCACAGAGGTAGAGAGGTAGATGGCTCTGTCTGAGCGTCTGCCTGGCAGCCTTGGCCCCAGCTCTGCTCACAGCAGCCAAGAAAACAAAAAGGAGAAAAAGCAGACTGAGAGCGAGAAAAACACTTCAGCCATTAAAATTAAAAGGTTGAGTGGCTTCACTACACGCCTGAAGTTTATTTCCCTCCTCTGCTTGGGTTTTATGTGTCTGCTGTGAGTGTGTGTACTGCCACTATGTGGGGTAATACAATATGGTTTTCTTTACCTGTCTGCCTCTGCTCTCCTCTTCACAGCAGTTTAACTTTGAAGTACAGAAAATATATTTCAGTCAATTAACAAAGCTGTAAAGTATTGTGTTGATTCTCAGTCACAAATGATGAGAATTAAATATTATTCAAAACCTTTGACAAAAATCTCTCGAGATGAATTCAAGCCAGTTCCCTTCTTCATGTATCTCCAAGAAATGCATTGTCAGAATTACAGTTTTCTCTTCCACTGATTTTTGAGATTCCAATGGTGAAAGGTGCATTGTGGGAATTGCTGTGTATTTTGTTTCCCTTCCAGTTGGAAAACCTGATGCTGGATAAAGATGGGCATATGAAGATCACTGATTTTGGCCTCTGCAAGGAGGGCATCACAGACGCTGCTACCATGAAAACCTTCTGTGGCACGCCAGAATACCTTGCACCTGAGGTAACTTTTTTCTTTTCTTTTTGTCTCTGGTTTTCTTTTGATTTAATTGTTGTTTATGTTTCTCTTTCTCTCATGCCTTGAAAGTCTTCAGCCTCTTTCTTTTTTTATTCTTTATCTTCTCAGATTTTATGACTTGGCGTAATTTTTATGATCAGTGTTTTTGCATCGTTTCTCTTTTTTAGTCTCCCTCTCCCTCTAGATGCAACACATCATGTGCCTTGACAATTCCAGGAGAAGTAATCAGAGCCAAGAAGAAAAGATAGAAACTCTTTGGTCAGTGTATGTGTTGCTATGTAAGGAGCTTTCTTCTTCTTTTTCAGTTAGCGTTAGTATGAGCATCAAATCAAAAGGCAAATTTCTCTGAATCAATTCAAATTACTGTCACTGACTACTACAGGATATGTTTTGTACAGAATGGCAGATTAATGCATTATGTACAGGTACAAACATATATTGTCAGGTCAAGAAGATACTTTATGTAGCATTATTCGATCACCTGCTTACCAAAGTCAACCTAAGCATTCATCAATCACAAAACAAAACGATACAGCAGGAAATTAACATCAAACTTGAGTAGATGTGTTAGATGATATATTGCTCTACGGTGTATATACAGTATATATTATAGACGACATAAGAAGACCTGCTTACATTATGAAGGTGTCCAGTGTGGCCAAATGGTTAATGGCAACATCTACAACACAATATCAATTCTTTATAAATTACATGAATCAATTTGTCAATTCAGGTACTGTATGTTAAATTCTGTAAACTGAGCAGATTGACTGAGGTTGTGGCATCCATGGAGTGATGATCCAGGTACTCTCTTGCAACCTCTTACCCATAATACCCTGCGTTTTGCAAGGACTCTGGTGTTTAAAACCTTCTTATAGTGGAATTTATTGGTGTACATTTCATTTGGAGGTTTCACAGGCGAACACTTTCCATAATATCAGGATGAAAAGTAAATATGCAGCTCATGCATGTGAATGAGGGTGTTGGTTGAATTGGAAAAAGGGCACAACACAGTGCTTACACACACAAAAACACACAACTACATTCTTGTAATAGTTTTTTTTTTTGCAGCCATCCGCTGTCCAGCCATCAGCGCTGCCTCACTCGAAGGCCAGCAGATCAACTGGCGAGAGCGTTGCAGGACTGTGGGTGGTGGAGACAGAGGGATGTAGATGTGGAGATGAAGGCAGGAGGGGAGAGGCATAGTGTATATCCCACTTGAAAAAGTATGGAGGACAATTTGGCGCAGCATTTTGTGCTTTTTTTTTTTTTAGAGTCCCTTCCTTTGCGTGCCAAAAGCTGATTGGAGGCTGTTGGTTATTTTTCACAGGATGTGCGTCTGTGTGCATTTATGTGTGTGTGCGCGTGTGTGCTGTGTGTGTGATTGCAGTAGAAAGTGCGGGCTAAAGCGAGGCAGATGGCGGCAGATGGGCGAGGTTGGAGGAAGGTGCTCGGAAAAAACCTGGAAATCTACACCACCGCCGCCGCCACTCACCCGCCCGCACGCTCTGCTCGCCCGCCCGCGTGTAAAAATAACACAGTTTGCTCGGAGCCAAGTTACAGAGATGCAAAGTAGCCGGGATTAAAAAGAGAAAGGGGGAGGTGGGGGTTGAAGACAGAGGAAGATGAGAAGGGAGAGAAAATATTTCAGGGTTACAGGAGTGAAATTCAGACAGTTCCCATGTTTGCCGTCAGTGAAAAGGGCAGATGAGAAGTGAATAAAGAGTGTTTGTGTCTGCTGCACGCCTGAAGGAACTCACACACAAATACTTGCTAAAAACTACGCTGTCAAGTGAATAAATACTTCAGCCGAATATGTAAAACATTAGATTGAAGTGCTATTGTTTGTTTCAAAGATAAATGTGAGATTAATGAACAATAAGCAGCGTAAGGTCCTTGTAAAGGGATGGAACAGGATCAGAGAAAACACATGCAGAGTCTTTTTCTCTGTTTTCTCATATTTTTTGTGTTTGACACATTTCCTTGTGGCGATTTGTTTTTTGAAGGGGATGGATTTGGGCTTTTTCCATTTATTTGTATGCGTTTGTTTTTGTTTGTGTTATATATTTTGTGCGTTGTTTTTTCTACTGTAACTGTAAATGTTTCATAAACATAGCAGCAGTCAGCCATTAGTACAACATAAAAAAATGTCTGAAGAGTGTCAACACTTTGGAGATAGAAGGTCTCTATGCGACACCAACAGTATGTGAGTGTATGTTCACTGTGCCGAGTATATCAGGTGTGTGTGTGTGTGTGTGTGTGTGTGTGTGTGTGTGTGTGTGTGTGTGTGTGTGTGTGTGTGTGTGGAGTGTGAGTGTGTTTATGTTCTCTGTAGCCTGCTGGGTATCTGGGCTGGTACAGCCACAGGCTGTGTGTGCCCGTCCCGTCCCATCTAGTCCTGTCCAGGCTGCCAAAGCCCCCGTCCCGCGAGCAGAATCTAACTGCCACATGGCTGCCCCAACAGGGACCCGGACAGGACAAGACCTTCTCCCTCACGGCTGCTTTTAATCAGAGCTCTCCTCTCCCCTCCTCTTTTCCTTTCCTCTCCCCTCCTCTCTTTTCCTCTCCTCTCCTCTCCTCTCCACCTGCCGATTTATCTCATTTGTTAGCTCATCTGTCTTGTCCTATTTATTTGTCCTGTCTATTTCTAAAATACACACACATAACCACATACTATACACAGACACACACTCACACACACACTCCCATGCCTCCATGCCTTGGGCTGTGGGGCAGCATTCTGGCTCTGTGTGGATTAATCTGCTCCCTGCCTGCAACCGAGCTGCCACCACTTTCTTTGGTCCCAGGACACACACACACACACACACACACACACACACACACACACTCTTACACTGACATGCACACATATACATACCCAACAGGACAGCTTGCATTTATATATACATACACATTTCTATACCTTTTTGTGCAAAGACTCGACACACAGCACACTCACAGCCCTGTAGATCAACATCGACAACAGCCTTGTAGGATGCTCTGAATTTCGTGTGTGTGTGTGTGTGTGTGTGTGTGTGTGTGTGTGTGTGTGTGTGTGTGTGTGTGTGTGTGTGTGTGTGTGTGTGTGTGTGTGTGTGTGTGTGTCCCTCCTCAAGGTGCAGGGACTGAAACAACACCAAACATCTCCTAGTTTGCCTCACTCTCAAAACTTTATGAATTTGATGAGGGCGGATAAATATTCCATCTGCTGTGTGTGTGTGTGTGTGTGTGTGTGTGTGTGTGTGTGTGTGTGTGTGCCTGACAGTCTCCCAGCAGTCTAAGCCAGTGTTATCCCTCCAGCCGTACCAATCAATAGTATATCTGGAGCTGGCGGCGTGCTTCGTTCCCCCAGCTCTTCTCTGCAGCTGCCAACAGGGTGACCAGCTTAATTCTCACACAAACACACATACACACACTCACACATAAAATAACTCTCATAACTCTCTTATTCACTTCCATGCACATGTTGACTTGCCCACACTGAAGCAGCCGCCTGCATCATTAGCAGTTTAGTTTGGAGTGTGTGAGCTCAGTCAGTTAATGACCAGCTTTCTGTGCTGTTGAGTGGCTGTGGAAAGTCACAGGCAGCGGTTTGATGTTTGGATTTTTTTTCTCACCTGGTATGCACAGTAACGTTTAACATCATTTACAGTTGCGGTTGTACAACAGAACCTCATCTGAACCTGACACTTACACTTATTAGGAGAAACTGCCAAGTAAAATGTTGAATAATAAGACTGTTTTCTGCCTACCTTTTAAAACCCTTCATTAAGACCGTAAATTACAGTAACTCTCTCACTGAATTGTGGGCTATAAGATTTGGGCTTTCTACATCTGCCACCCATTGCGCTACTGCTAATGGTAGATATTAGTTCAGTGTACGGTACTTACTCTGTATATTTTTGGATGTTTTGATATGACTTTTGCTGTATACTTTATTGTGTAATTTATAATAGTTGTGTCAAAAAATGTATAGTATGTTTGTACATTCACGTGTTTGTGTCCACCCTGCCTGGTCCATTATTAACAGTGAGTGAGATGTTATTATTATTGGCGAGATGTACAACATATGCTGTTTTGGCTGCTCTCCAGTCTTGTCTGTCAGTCACACACACACACACACACACACACACACACACACACACACACACACACACACACACGCATGCATCCACACATGCACACTCTTCATGTTAATAAGCTTATTATGTTAATGAGGGCCTCAACAGCACCTGAAATACCTCTCTTTCAGCATGTGCCTCCCTTTCCCTCCTCTTCCTTGCTCGTCCAGAGGTGAGCAAACGGGCACAAGTGGGAATGAAAGAGAAGGAACAAGCAAGGGAAGATATGATTAGAGGATGCAGAAGGCAGGATAAGACAGGATGGAGAAGACAGCACAAGGAGAGCAGGCAGGAAATAGGAGTAGGAAGGCAGCCCAGACATAAGACTTTGATACAGGAGTGACTTCTTTCACAGAATCTCTTTCCCCTCCACACAACACTCCAGCTCACAGTACAGTACCTGCGCTAGCCAGCTTGGAGGTCGGACTGGCCCTGACCCACGTTGCGGGCTGTTCCTGCCTTTTCCATCCAGGGACGTTCCTCTCTGTCCCTGCCAGGGGAGGATCAGTGTGCCAGAGGGAGCTGGCAGGGACCAGAGGGGGCATCTGGTGGGCCACGCCAGCACACAGACTCCCTTACTGTAACAGGGGGCTCTGAAGACCTGCCATCCCATGATGTTTGCCTCTGTATGTGTGTGTCTGTGTGCTACCTTCTACACCTCAGTCCTTGTTATCTGTGCAGCCACTTCAACAACGACAACTTTTTACTGTTTTTATTTTTTTCCTTGAGCAAAATGGCATATTGACTCTCCTTTGCATCTTTCCTCGCTCATCTGTCTCTTCGCTGAATACCTTGGGCAGTCTGTATTGTCCAATAAAATAAATGCAGAAACACAATAAAAGCAGATGTCCAATAAAACAAATGGTCCCATTTAAAAAAGTAGCAATTTTTCCTCTCTCTACTTTCCTCAGGTCCTGGAGGACAACGACTACGGTCGGGCGGTGGACTGGTGGGGTTTGGGGGTCGTGACGTACGAGATGATGTGCGGCCGACTGCCATTCTACAACCAGGACCACGAGAAGCTGTTTGAGCTCATCCTCATGGAGGACATCAAGTTCCCACGCACTCTTTCATCCGACGCTAAGTCCCTGCTGTCTGGCCTGCTCATCAAAGACCCCAACAAACGGTGTGTGTCCAGGTTTAGTGTAGGTGAAAATTTAGCGACGTGAACATTGGTAAATTAAGGGTCAGGAAGGAGGTTTTGTCCTTTACATTCATTGTGTTCATTTTCCTAAAATGTTGATGTTCTTAAAAAAATGTACGCATATGTGAAGGAAGGAGATGGCAATGCGTGGTTTCTCATTGTGTTTCATTCACCAATTGACCTAATTTCTGTGATCCTCTGGTATGGATTATTTACACAACATCTGCGTATGTACCAAGCAAAAAGAGAGACGATGTGCAGAAGTTTTTTTTCACATTTATTCACATTATTCTTCTAAAGAAAGTAATACATATCTCTTCATCACTTCTGAGGACTTTTATAAGTTTGATTTCTGTCTGTTAGGCTTGTTGGTTAAAATCAAATGTTGCCTCTCCTCTCATCTAGGCTCGGTGGAGGACCAGATGACGCTAAAGAAATAATGAGACACAGTTTCTTCTCTGGCATTGACTGGCAGGATGTGTATGATAAAAAGGTATGAATCAATATGATGGTAAAACCATATGCTTGCACTGTGTAGTGTGCCATTGTTTTGTACTGTCTAATCAAGTATTATAGTATGATGGGAAATGGCTCACCACGAAGATATATAAGTTATGATAATAAATTATAACAATAACAAGTTCTTTCACTCCTTGCATTTCCGTATGTTCACATTTAGTGTATTGTAATTGTGTGCTGAACTGCAATTATCCACAGGCTCAGGGCTAACTCATGAAACACATGCAGGCATGCAGATATCTCACAGGATGTGTGCATCAGAACAGACAGGCAACAGTATAAAGCACAGGGCTTTATGGAGAGGTGTGACCTTGTATCCTGGAGGTCTATCAGTCTGTTCGTGTGTTTGCTCACACCACAGAGTGTAAGTCAGGTCCTGTGTGGCAACACCTATAGCCTGTTAGACAGGTGCTGAGCTTCCTCCTTTCACTTAAGTCTCTTTTCTCCTGTTCTTCACATCCTCATTTCCTTTGCTCTCCTTCCCTTTTGTCTCTCCTCCCTCCTTTCCTCTTCTTTCCTTTGCTCTCTCCTTCCTTTCTGTACCTTTCCTCATCTCCTCTCCTTTCTTCTCCTTTCATCTGTACTTCCCTTCCCTTTTGTCTCTCCTCCCTCCTTTCCTTTCATTGTGGTTAAAACACATAAAAGTAGAAGTATAAATGCACAACAACACATATCCATACACCAGAGCCAGCTCATTATCATTATCATTATATCAGGAGCAGAATCTTGAAGGAGATGTTCAGTATAATTTTACTTAAAATATTGGCGGCTGCATTTTGAAGCTGTTCGATGGCTTTTTTCAGTCATTTACACGACATTGCAGAACTATCTTCTAGTCTACCAATAAAAAGGGCACAAACAAATGTCTAATCTGACTTAGATACAAAAAGCAAAACATTTTCTAAAAATACTGAGATGATGAAAGGCTACTTTAATGATGCTGCTGAAGTGTGAGTAAAAATTGAGGTCAGGCTCAATGATAACTGTTTTGAATCTAACATCCACAAACCTGCTGCTTCTGTGCCTTTTCAGGTTCAACTGCAGGACGGTTTTCCTTTTTAAAAGAGTATTCTTTTGCCCCTTATTCGGCCGATCGATAAAGAAGGCAACAGGATATATGGGGTGGGGGAGGGGGGAGAATTATGTGCTATGCACTTTAACCATTTGTCCACCCTAACCTGCAGAACGATTGGTGACATCCAGAGGTCCTTGAAGCAGCTGCTTTGTAGTTTGGAGACAACCAGTGTTACTGTACAATCTAATCTTTCCTCTTTGTGTCCTCCTCACATCTCTGCCTCAGCTGGTCCCTCCATTCAAGCCTCAGGTGACGTCAGAGACAGACACCAGATACTTTGACGAGGAGTTCACGGCCCAGACCATCACAATCACTCCACCAGAGAAATGTGAGTCTCTTCTGTCTCTCTCTGTCTGTTTGTCTCATACATGTATGCACAAACATATGCCCACATTAAAACTTACGGCCATCTCATTTTCATTACATAGCAGCAAATATTCCCAGTGGAGACAGAATATAGTAGTAGTAGTGGATATTACGTCACTGTAAAATAGCACACATCCCACCAAAAAGAAATGTATGTTCTGTATATGTTTGAGTACTCTGAATCATTTCTGCAGAGGATCATAATGTTAATAAAGCTGTCCTGATTACAAATTAGAATTAATTATTTGGCGTCGAGTTGCATTTGTCAAGCACCTGCTAGTGATCAAATTCAGCTTTTTTACTCCTATGGATTACTTTAATAATTGCAGTTTCAAACAGTTTATCAGTGCTCCCTCTCTTTCTTCTGGTGACACATTTCCACTTGAATTAATCGAAGCAACAAAATACTCAAAAGTGCTCGTAGTAGTGTCTCCGGAATAGTCCTCGGGCCGCATGCAGCTCTACAAGCTTTGAAATAAAGACGCCAGTTTCAAAATGTTCGTCACTGAATTATGCATGAGTGGAACCGACGTGTTTCTCTGCGCTAATGTGAGGTTCCACTTGTTTTGTAGGTCGCACATCAGTTGGAGAGTGGCACATCAAAGGCACACCCGTTAATTGAATCTTGTTCTGTTTAAATAACGTGTTGCAAACACAATGCTTTGTTGTGTTTGATTACATCTTTAGATGATACAATCAACCTGGCAATTTATACATTTCCTGTTTGATTTTATTTATTTATATTAACTGAACTTTTAATGGTAAGTCTTCCAGCCCTTAATTACCTCTGAATCAATATTTGTCTGCAGTTGACGAGGACGGGATGGACTGTCTGGACAACGAGAGAAGGCCGCACTTCCCACAGTTCTCCTACTCTGCCAGTGGGCGAGAATGAACTGTCCATCACAGTGACATCATCACAGCTGGTCTCTGAGGTCATGAATGTGGGACAAAAAGACCCACAGCTTTGGACCGACCCAGAAGGACCCTGACTTGAAGGATTTTGCCCTTCTCCTCCTCTCCTCTTCCTCTCTCTTTCACCTCTCCAGTCTGCTCCACTGTTTTTATTTTTATTTTTGGTGAATCCCTTTTTAGAGAGAACTTCCAGGCAAAATTATTTTCTAATCCTGCACTGCAACCCTAGGTGATCCGAACTGTGATGTGATCAGTTACTATGTAATGTCCCTTTAAAGACAGGAGCATCACCGGTGGCCTGCTGTGCTTTGACATGTGTCGGTCCTGCCAAACTCAAAAAACAAACAAACACTTCAGATCAAGTTAGACAACAGCTGATTCATTTTTAACGAGACGTTTTTGTGGCTTCTTATCTGTAAGACCGAGTTACAGAATTTTAAGTCTTTCAAACCCAAACTGCCGTTACCGGTTTGTATCTCAGGCTTTTACAAACAGACAGATAGTCAGACTCGGAGAGACACTCGGGTCTGATTTAATATCCTCGCATTAATAATTCTGGGATTGATTGAGGCTGCCTGGCATTGAGCAGAATCCTACACACCTCATGTTGTCAAGCAGGATTTGACTCAGGTTTTGCTCAGTGCAATTCATTATTGTTGTTGCTGCTATTTCAACTACTATCACAACTACTACAGGTACTCCTACTCCTACTATACTACTACTGCTACTACTAAAACCCGGTGCTACACTACTAGCTTAATGCTGCATCATTATACAGGCGCCAGCAACACATCAACCACCTGTATTAACGTCTATGCTTGTACAGCTGCAGAACAGGTGTTGCTACTCCTAAAGTTCTGCTACTCCACATCAACTCTGTAGATTAAGATGATGACAGGATGTCATGTATGTGTGAGTGTGTGTGAAGTACTGTTATGGATTTGTGTTTAAGAACGCACCTCAAAGCACAGCAGTTCAGAAGGATGAAGCTCCCAAACCATGAGCTTTACTACGTTACCCACAATGCAGTGCAAGGTGGTTGATAAATCCATCGCTGCAGAGGTGAAAATGAGAGGAAAATGGTTGGTTTGAATGTTAACCCCCAAACTTTTTTTATTTTATTTTTTTTTTATTTTCCAACTACAAGTCCCCCTTGAGTTTAAATGTCTTCTGTCCCAAAAGGGAAAAACGAAGCGAATCGGTACTCTGTGTCGATGATGGAAAGCTTTACTGTGACATATTGTTGTCATGGCTTTGGGAACCGCACGGCTGTACCTCTCTGTCTTTGTGCAGGAAAGGGAAACTGCAGCAGTAGCAGATTCACCACAGAGTGAAAAGAGAAGTCCAGGATGGCAGGTTGGGCATTGTGACGAGAAGAGAGAGAGAGAAAGAAAGAGAGAGAGTGCAGGTGAAAAAGCTGAGAAGAATGATGCGATATGAAATATTTATAATGTGATAATTTATGACGTATTGATGAGTGAGGTAACAGCTGATTTCCTGTTTCCTGTGAGATTCTTAAGAAGGATTTTTAAAGAAAGACATTATGGTCTGTGAGGAGGTACGCATCAACAGTTATGGGTTTACACCAATCACAGCAATGGCTATAATATATATATATGTTCTATTTATTGTTCTACTCATCGGTTTTATATTTAACTTTTTCTATTGTTATTACATTATTCTAGAAAAAATATTTCTTAGGGCTGAGAGGAGAAAAAAAAGGCACCTCAAGAAACAAAAATGGCTGAAGAATGTAGGAGGGAAAGCAAATAGCCTTCCTGCTCCATTGTTTATTTTAATGATGTTTTTTGTGTTGTTTTGTGACCAAAATGTGACAGCCGAGAGGTGACACGACACGTTAAAGACAGACGATAGTTTACTGTGAGCTTCAAGAAGAGGGGCGATGATAGAAACCCACCTTTTCTTCCTCAGCGTTATCCACATCATCCCACAGGTGTTTACTGCAACGGCTCATCTCACCGTTGTTATTGACACAAATGTCCCCCGCATTGAATCTCACTACATGTGTGTGCTGCTGAAGGCTGAGACAGAGTTCAGGGAGAAAGACCAAGTGGAAGTTGAGCAGAAAGAAAACAAGTACAGAAGTCAGAATGTAACGCGGTAAGGCTGGAAAAGACTCAGTGCCGAGCTGTAAGTGCTGCTGTTTACTGTAAGTGTGTCGAGACGGAGTCGAGGAGAAAGTCGAAAGAGAGGATTAATAATGTGAGGTTTTTTTTTAGGTCAGTCAGTGTTTTCCTGTCAGTTTTATGGATTTTAGATGAGAAAGAGCTTTCTTGCCCGCTAACATTACCTCTATTATAAGAGTGGGGATGATCAGACTCGGGCCCCGACCACTAAACCATTCCCTCACGCTCCTTGTCTTTAACGTGTGCTGTCATCTCTCCGGTCTGGACTTTGTTTGTTTGCGTCGTCATGTCTTCCAGTCTGACCAACAAGATTTAAAATCCCCTCTATTTCTCTGTCTTCAAACGCCAGTAAGCCTTATGGTTTAGCTCAGAATGAGTCAAAAACTTCGACGTCCAGCATTTCAGAGTCAAAAAAAATAATCAACAGACGTGAGGAAATATATTTTTAAACATTTGAAATCTCAACTACATCTAAAAAAAAAAAACTAAAAAAAAAAAAGAAAACGTGGAAGACTTCCCCTTCAATATCTGAATGACATGGATTAAAGAGAGCACCAGGGGATGTGCTCTTATTAGGCATAGGGAATTGTATTCCAATATATTTATTTGAATGTTTTTATTATTATCATTGATGGATAACTTGAATTTCTTTTCTATTTAATTTATTTGATGTCATTTTGTTTTGGAGTTTAGCAGTAAGGGGGTGTAGTCGTGTTTCACTCTGCAGTTTAAGTCTTCAGACTTTGTTCTAAAAATAAATGCCTCCTTTTTTTTTCTTTTCTTTACAGATATCTCTTATACGACACATTACCTGTTTTTCCGCTGCTCTTAAGTCCATATGCTTTACTCTTGCACATCCATTAAATTGCTATTAGCTAGCAAAGGCGCTTTATGGCAGAAAGTATAAAAGGATGGCGCTGGCCTGCATGCTGTAGTCCTCCTCTGTCCGCACTACCAGTCCCGAGTCAAAGTGGCACTCTGAACTCTTATGAAAAATACTTCTCTGTGATCGATTGAGCCTGTCTGGCACAGCTGAAGCAGGCGAATCCCACCCAGCTGGCACCCTCGACAGGCTCAAGCAAACGCTCCCAAGTATTTGGAAGGATTTCAGCTTTGATTTGACCCAGGTCTGCGAGTGACTGAGGAGTTCTAGCTGTATGTGCACGCTTACCGCCAAAATCATTAGAAACCAGAGTTCATAAAATACCGCTTTGTAGCTTTGGCCACAGCACTTTCACATCCATCACTTTTTATATGATTCAGAGGAATCTGATTCAGCCCTGCTTTAAAGGAAGAGTTTTAGCTTTTTTTTTTTTTCTTTCTCTAATGTTTTTAAGAAACTGAGGATTTTAAAAGCACATCTCCCCTCCACATAGACCGATAGCTCTGATGTTGCTCTCTAGAGTTGGCAAGACCCAGGTGATTGTGTCCCACATGCCAGAGACGAGTCAGTGCTGCCACTGCAGAGCGGGCTTTGGAGCTCAGTGGATGTTTTCAGTGAATTGGTCAGTCTTCAGAAACTAAAATGTTTGTAAAAACCCACTGAGCAATCGTTGCGACTCCACTGACTCCTCCTCCTCCTCTCATTTTGAAAAGTTTTCACCCCAGTGAGCCTCCGACTCTCCTTGTTCAACAACTTGTTCTACAGATTCAAGTTCACTTACTGGCAGCAACAATGCCACAAGCTGATTCTAAAAGGTCAGAGATCATAAAAAAAAGAGAGAGCAGGTGGAGCTAAGTAATCCTCTTCATCAATGTGGGTTTTCCCTTAAAGACTTTGAATCAGTCGAGGGGACATGTCCTTAACTTTTGTCTCAGTAGTTTCACCAAACAGAGGTTCTTAAACGGGATGCTGAAGCTCAGTTTAAGCCTCCTCACAGCTTTACCGGTGCCCTAGACTGGTGTGAATCGACAGTATGTGAGATATCTGACGCTGCACTGACAGCGTTCAGTCTTTAAGCTGCTGCTGTTTGTACTGTACATCTATCACACATCAGATCTGACTCCAATAGTATTTGAATATGTAAAATCCTTTCAAAGACCTCAGCTGCTCTGTATTGATCTCGCCCGTTGTGAATGAACGGACGGCGTCAGCCAGAAATCACATGCCGCCCTCAGCCCGGCGTTTAATGCAGATAATAAGTAAACGGCTCCAGTGTTTGGAAGGATTTCTGAAAGTATTTGACCTCATGTCTGCGATAGCATTCCTCCCCCTCCCCTCTCTGGTACTAGTCTATCATCATGATTATTAACATGAACAAGCATGAGATGCATTTATTTATAAACAGCAAACAAAAAATGGCAAACATGTACAAATATTACAAAGTGTAACTGAGTTTTAATTTCACGTCCATGTTCATCTACTGTAGCTTTACAGTTGTGTGAGACATTTCTGGACAGCTGCCAGCTGTTCACAGAGTGGGCCACGTTTCCCTGAAGCACTGTAGCACTGAAGTCAGCTCTGCTCTACGACATGTCAGTGGAGCAGAGAGGATGTTGACTCTGAGACAGTGTCGGGAAACTCAGCAGATCGATCAAACAGCCTTTTTCTGTCCCTCATGCTGTTAGGATACAGTCCTGCTGGCCAGTGAGGCCGCGAGGATGTAAAAACAACAAATTACCATCAACATGAAGCTGTTTTTTACACTGTACATCCTTAGTATTTTTACACATAAAATGTATATGATAGGGATGCACATTATTTTCCTTCTTACAGACAGCTTCAATAAAGCACTATGTCAATCTGCTGCAATGGTGTCGACTTGTTTCCTTTGTGGCTAAAAAAGAAATGAGTTTAGACTTTTTCCCATACAAAATGTGAAACGCTTATTCTGAATAAAAGGGGAAAAAAAGAAAATGTAGAAAATTTGTATTAAAATGATGATTTAGGGAATTCCAAAAGCTCATATTAGTGCACCACTGATTTTCTTATTAAATGTTTAAAAAAGTACCTCTAACCACTCAATATATTGCAGTAACAGTCTATTGCCAAATGTAAAATATAGGCTGGAAACCTGATAACAAAATAGGAGGACATCTGATTCCCTGCACTTTGGATAAAAAAGCATAAATAATACTCTGATGTGTTTTCGTTGACGGGAGATGACTCTGAATCCAAACAGACCAGAGGAGGAAATGGGCAGGACAGACTCATGTGGACAGAGCATCGACTCGTCTGGTGTTCGGGAGCTAGAAAGACACACATAGAGCATTCACTAAAACCAGTGTCTGAACGTCTGACACGCACACACAATCTCTCTGGTGATGAATCAGAGCAGAATACAGACATGTTGTTAAATTCAGAACCAGACAGAATCATTAGTCATGAAGGGACAAACGTCTTCTTACTGATTTATTTCAGTAAACTGACAACTATAATGTGCACCTAGAGAGAAAAGACACCATCACAAATTAATTTAGTAACAGTGAGTCACACACACTGGTGTGTGTGTGTACGTGTGTGTACGTACCTCTATGTGTAGGGTCTGCATCTCCTCGGTGAGTGTGTTTCTCTCCTGCATCAGCTGGTTCTGTTTGGCCAGCAGCTCACACACCTGCTGGGCGCTGCTCTGACAGTGACGGTCCAACTGCTGCAGTCTGCAAAACACACACACACACAATATTGACTGAAACTGTGTGAGAGGAACGTACCCTCCTGGCTGATATAAAACCAAATGTTGTAAATATTGAAAGAGAGCTGGATCCACAAAAAGCTTTTAATATCACTGGACTTTGTGTTGATCAAGTAATCAACAGTGTTTACATGAATGTGACAGCAGGGTTCCTTTTATAATTAGAGTGCAGACGAGGAGCTGAATAATCGTCATGCGCTCAATCGATATCGGACTGCACTGACCCTAATAAATGGATCCAATTAGGGCTGCAACTAACTAATCTCAATATATCCATGAATTGTTCTGTTTTTAAAATGTCACCCGATAGTGAAAGATTGTATAATATAATAGAAATCCGAGCTGATGTCTTCAAATGTCTTGTTTTGTCAGACCAACAAAGTTACTCAGTTTACTCTTCTGTATGAGAAAGAAAACATTTAAGAATCAGAAAATGTTTTTCATTTTTCTCAGAAATGGTCTAAAATTATTAATTATTATTATTATTATTATTATTATTATTATTATTATCATCAAAATAGTTGTTAACTTTCTGGCGACTGACTAAAATTGTTGCAGCTCTTGATCAGACATCGGCCAGATGTGACAGATGTTTTTTAGTGACCGTCGTCAAAACATTTTAACAGGGAAATGTTACACCATATAAAACAATATAATTGTATAATTAAAATAAGAAAGAATTGTATTGAATTAATTTTCTCTGACTTAAAGGACCAGTGTGTAGGATTAATTGATCTCTAGGATCTCTGTAATGTTTATCTGTTCACACGCAGGTGACCTCATTAACAGCCTGCCAACGGTCTCACCCTACACCACTGATCAACAGGTAGTAAATACGCCAAGAACTGCAGCAATGTGCAAACAAAGCCTGGGGAGAAGACAACAAGCTCGTAAACGTTGATAAAAACAATACAGGATTTAAAACTTTTTAAAACTTTAAAATATTTTATGGGGAGGAAGGAAATTAATTCAACACATTTGTTTTCAGCTCCGAGATACAATGCGAGTAACCCTGAATGTAGACTAACTTGTTTGTTTACAAGAAAACATCACAGGGCCCCAGGTAGACAGGTGTGTGTGTGTTTAATGTAAAATCTTCATTATGGCTGCAACATAAATGTAGTAAAAAGTACAATATTTCTCTCTGAAATGTAGTGGAGCATAAAATGCAAGTAATTAACTACAGTACCCGAGTATATGTACTTCACCACATCATGCTACAGTATTATATTAGTTTGGTGAACTGTATTTTCATAGTGTGAACATACTACAAGCTCCAACAATGGTTAGAGCTACAGCAACTGGGACAAGGCTAAGGAGATATATTTGTTCCTGATAGGCTCAGAAAACATGCTGACTGTTACTTTGAGGCCTGTACTGTCGCTGCTCTGTGACATTATGTCTCCATATTGTCTTCATGTGCTAGCAGGTTAGCAGTGTGGTGAGAAAGTGGCGTGTATGAAGCAAAGTGTTGATCATTATTGGGACGTCCCAATTAGTGCGTCCCCTCTGACACAGGCGCTTCTGCAGACAGTGAACTCTTTCACTTCACACTGTGTGTGTGTGTGTGTGTTGGTAGGTGGTGTTTTCCAGCTGGGGTTTGGGGGTAAGTCTGTATGAATAGTGTGTGTGTGTGTGTGTGTGTGTGTGTGTGTTGACTGTGTTTGGGGGAGGAGGTGGAATGTGTGTTAAGAGATTTCCCACCAGCAGCCCATTTTTTCATCCATTCATCTATTCAGTCAGTCATCCCCTCCTCTAGTGCAGCGGTGAACTCATTCTCACTCACACACACACACACACACACACACACACACACACACACACACACACACCCTGATAATGGGACAGAGGAAACTCTCAGCACTGGAATCCACATTTGCATACTTAACCAGCCATCCATATTTCTCTCTCTCTTTTTCTTAATAGGACATTAAATGCAGGACTTTCACTTGTAATAGAGTATTTTTACATTGTGGTATCTTTTACTTGATTCACAGTGTTTTAGCGGCTGACAAACTGGGGATCGGGACCTCAAGCAGTCACAATAGAAGTCTGTGAAGTAGTGAGATGATTAATAGAAATAGTTCAGAACAAGCCTTTTTTTCTTGTGAGAGTTTGACCTCTTTAGGCCTCAAACGACTTTAAATGAAACAGTGGTTTCAACGGAACTGCAGAAAGCCACAACATGAATGCAAAAGCTGGACGTGAAGCAGTGGTTCTGTTCTAAACCAGCGCCCCCCATCCCTCCTCCAGGTCCAGGTTGAGAACCACTGTTCCCACTGCCTCTCTTCTGTGTTGTGGCTTTTGCAGGTTGTTCGACACCTCTGGGCCACCGTAGAAACTTCACTCTTTGGTCGTATAAAATATAAAATACCACAGCACTGTGTACTGAGAGTAATCCTCTTTCACAATGTTCGGCACTGTTTCAGCTTCAGAAGGCGAACAGTGAGGCAGGAATGATGTGTGTGATACAGAAGAAGAGAGAAGAGGAGGAGGATGAAGAGAGTTGTGGCTCGGGGCAGAAAGAAGTAGCTGGGGGCAGGGGGGGGGTGAGACAGATGCCCCTGCCCTGCTGGTCATGTTGGCAGTGGCAGGGCTGCCTGTGTGTGACAGACGGGGGAGGCGAACATCCCAAAACTCCTCCACAATCTGCTCCCTGCTCTCCCCCCCCCACATTGTCCTCACTCTGCCCTGTGCTTTCTGGTTTTCCACTGCAGGGTTTTAATCCTGCTCCTGCCTGTCCCTCTTCATCAGAACCTCCCCTCCTCCTCCTCCTCCTCCTCCACCATCATCATCATCATCATCATCAACTTTCACCATCAGTCCTCCCTGCTTACACCCAGCAATAACCTGCCCTCCTTCAGCCGCCCTCTCCTCCTCCATCCCGACCAAAGGCCCGCTGAGCGGTTTATCTCAGACCTGGAGGCTCCGTCCAGTCCTGGAGGCCGCGGGCGATGACTCCCCTCCCCGCCTGGTGTTCCTACAGCCGACTGCCAAGCTGTCCTGACTAGCCACCCCCTCTCCTCCTCCTCCCACTCTCCCTCCTCCGCCCTCACACAGCACGACACAGTAGGCCACCGCCACGTCACACAGTAACACACAGTAACACACAGTAACACACAGTAACACACAGTAACACACACACACAGAGAGAGAAAGATCCCCGCTGTGGTGAGCGAAGACACAAGATATAGACACAATCAATGTGCCACACGCAAAGTGCAGGAGATGTCAACTACACACACACACACACACACACACACACACACACACACACACACACACACACACACACACACACACACACACACACACACACACACACACACACACACACACACACACACACACACACACACACACACACACAGCGAAGGACCTAAAGGTCAGAAACAGAGCCTGTTGTTCTGAAGCTGTAAATGTTTGATGAGGGAAGTGTTGAGAATGTAAGGCCTTTAACTCCACACCACCAAACTAATCTGAATCATGCTGAGAAAATGCCAATGCTGATCCAATCACAACCTCTGATCTTGGTACAAGTAGACGCACCAAACAGGAGAATATACAGCTGTGTGTTTAAGAGAGTCTGTTGTGATGACTGACGGCCAGAGATCCACTCCAGGTTTGTAAAGCAGGAGATGTGTCAACAGTGTTTGCCAGGAAGAGTTTTACACTTGTTCTGCTGGTAGACGTAGAGAGGATTTATTCACTTATTGATTCAGAGCATGTGAAGGTATTTATCGGAGATATTATATATTATATCTAGAAGGATCTAGCCATACAGATAGTTTAGGTTTAATTTGACAGAGATCTGTCTCAAGGTTTTCTGCCTCAGTTGAGGGGTTGAATGGTATTTGATTTGCGGTGATTACAACGTTTAAAAAAATAAAAAATAAATCACCAGCAGCATCTCATTCCAGAAACTGTGTCCCTGTTGATCCGTATAATCCACAGAACTCACATCTCAGCAGATTTCTCAAAACCAGAGCCAATTTAACCAAATTACTAGATTTCACTAGAGGTAAGTGAGAAAGTGTTTTTTTTGTAATTTGGCTGAACTGACCCTTTAATTGCCAACATTTCGATTGAAATTAAGTCTGTAATTTAAAGGGTGTCTTCCAGCAAGTTAATGTGGCACTTCCATAAAGGCTGATCAGTTTCCCATAATGCAACTTAATGGAGTCCTTCAATAGTGTTTCACTGCATGGTAAACATCCATGTCTTTCAAACTCCACATCCCCCAGTTTGACATCCTCTGAGTTATTTTGTTAGACTCAGAAAAACCACAATCCAACTGTCTTCCCAGGCGGAGTCGTTTCATGACAAGTTCACCGATTCTGATGTGTAAAATTGACACAGTGCACCTTAAAAAATACAATTGTGATTTGTGTGTCAGATATGAGAGCAAACTAGTCTTCATGGTGTGTTTTTATCAGCTATACAGGTTTTCCATTTCCAGAGAGACACTGAGGCACTATGCAGTAAAATATTCAAAAAACAATTATTTAGGAGAAATGGCACCAACTGCACAGAAATCCCAGACACTGCTGCAAAATGCCAGCAGCCCACACACACACAGCAGTCTGACGGTAAGTGAGCTGAACAGGAAGCCAGTAAATCAGTCGGTCGGGTCGTGGCCTGAGATGTTTGAAGCGGCTGCAGGTTGTAAGCTGAAGGTTTATGTAATGCAGTTAAGTAAAGCTTTAACTCGCGCACACACACACACACACTCAGTTGGTCTGGCCAGAGAGCAGCCAACCTCTGGCCTTCTTACACAACGGACACACACACTCACTCTCTCTATCTATCTCTAATCCACCCCTTGTCTCACCTTGCATACCCTGCCTCGGGGGGGGGTGTATATGAATGTGTGTGTGTGATTAAGGCAGCGCTCCTTCCAGCAGCTAAAGCAGCAAATCCAATAACTGGCCTCTATCGACTGGCACACTCATTAATTAGGGCTTA